TCACTTACCTTTCTGTCCCAAGCTTGCATGCCCCCATTGAAGCAAACACATGCCCATGTCAATCTAGAGTCACTACAATCATTCCCAAGTCTACTGATAGATTCTACTGAAGTTACAAATCTGGATGCTGTATGAAAGAAAAATGCTCACTAAAAATAACCTCCACGATTTATTGGCATACCAAAGCACGCAACCAGAATACCATAAACAATGGCCAATCATTCTTTCACTTAGACACTGTCTAACAGCGAGCTCTCACTCAAGATCTTGCCTGAAAAACAGAGTTTTAAAATATACCGCTATCCATTGTGTCAGGATTTTCTGTGAAGCTTATTACATTAGTTTCTGACACTTTTTATATTTATAGCATTTAACGTGATTCATCTGTAATTACTACATCCAGTCTTTTTTATCCTGATCTAGGGAATGTGGCACTCTGCTCTGTAGCTAGCTCAACTTAGCACAGTGGGTAATAAATTGCACTGGGACCTGTTTCACTTGCAGTTTCAGAGTCAAAGACATTCTCTCTGACTGTCGCTTCGTGAAAGGTGTCACTTCATCCAAACGCAAGCACGCTGCCCAGAGTCCCAGCTCACTGCCTTGGCTGAATTCATCACCCACCTTCCCAACAACGGATAGCTCTCTGAGGTCCTCCAGTTGTGCTATCAGAAATGAGTTCACGCATTTTCACTTATCAGCATCACTGATCTGGGCATCTGGTTCACCTTCTGTGTACACACGGATTGCAATCCTAAATCATGTTCAGTTGCTTCCCTGAAGTTATTGTAACAGATGAAGAAAAGCAAGTCCTAGATTAAACAACCTTCAGCGTTTGATCTCTCATACCTTATTCATATTAAGCCTTAAGTTCTCACAAAAACAATTTACATGCCAGCTGTTCAATAATCAACTGGTCTCATAGCTTCAATGTTGAGTTACCAATGACTTGAACTTAACCTCCAACCTCATCGCAGTGTGAAAGCACGTCTACCTGTGAAGACACACTGTCAGCTATTTTGCCATAAGTAGCATTATTTCCATCAACTTCAGAAAAAGTAATTTTGTTGCTCATTTTTGACATTAGCCACAAAGTAACTGCAAGTTACCAAATATTTTAAAAGGTACAGCCACAATAGGTCATCATGGGAAAAAAGGTGGCATCACAGCTTTTTCTCCTCTTCTTAACAACAACACACTCAGCATACAGCTCTCTCTCTCAGACTTTCACAATGCACAAGAAGCAAACTCATTGAACAACCTTGGTTCTGTTTCTTGGATAATTGCTATTTGGTTAAAAATAATAATTCTAAGAGAACCTTCAGTTATGTGTCAGCTTGCTAAAAACAATGTCCTGTATTCATTTCTAAAGACAGGTAGACAACCTGAACACACTGAATACTACAGTACTTGCCTCCTTCCTAACAACAACCAAAGCACGCATGTGTGAAAAAAATGAATCAAAACTGCACTGAAAAGTAGTTCTGATGTAAGGTGATATTAAAGGATACCAAGGAAATTTTTGAGTCTGAGCAGGCAGTGAATACGAGAGGCAAGTATACTGAACTAAAATTATTCCCATTCCCATTTAACCTCCCCCCTCCCCAAACACTGAAGAGAAGTCAGTGTCAAAACGGATACAGTGTTCCACCAGTACTTATTTATACAAGAGCCTAAGAACATTACTTGCATGTTTTCAGTACAATGATAACACATTAGCATTTCCACAGGTTTGCCATCTTGGATCTCTAGCTGACATTAGCAGTTAACTATAGTTTACAACACTTGTTGATGCCTTTTAAAGAAGCACTTGGCCAGGTAATCTACAAACTCCAACTAAACATTACATGAACTTCTGACAGCGTCAGTCCTTGGAAAAATTCATTTGCTCAACCATTTTAGCACTCAGTCACATCAATTTCCTTATTTAAGTGATGAGATCCCAGAGAACTGTGGCAAAAAAAGAAAAAGAAAAAAAAAAAAAAAAACAAGAAAAAAAAGTAGCTGCAGCTACACACAACACATGCATGGCAACTTCCAGCAACGTTTGGGCAGACCACATTGTTTATCCTAACTCAAACGCAAAATAGTGTATTAATACCTAAGCAGTATCCTAGACACAGACACAATCCTCTGGGATCTTATCACTTAAATCAACAGCCTTATGTGACTAAGCAACATTAAAACAAATGTTCTTTCACAGATGTTAAATACCAATGCACTCTAGAGTTGTTATGAAATAACAGAAAAGATTTAAGTTGGCTTCAGCATAGCCACCATATTTGTTTACAGTAATACTGAGTAACAAAGAGCAAGACAAGAATTGTAGTACTGAGTTTGTCTTTTTACACTGCCTTTCAGGCACAGTCATATATTTTCCCGTCAGCAGCAGCTGAAGCGGTTACCAGTTGTACTCTCTTCATCTTCTCCCACCCTCACCATCATGACAACTCACTTCTCACTCCCTTAAGAGTACTGTTTCTACCCAATACTAAAATAAGATTCATTTTAAAAGGGGCAAGGATTGATTTCACATATGTAGTTTAGAGACCAGACAGAGAAGCAACTGTAAAAGCACAGTTTTGGGAATGGTAAATACTGGCAATAAAGCAAAAACAAAATAGTGGAACGTACAGCCTTAGACTAGATCTGTTGTTGATAGAAGAATGAAGTAACTACAGCCTTCACCTTTACAGAGCCTTAAACACCTTGATGTTTAGTAAAAGACAGCAAGAACTTCATTTTTTTTTTTTTTTTTTTTTTTTTAAAAGCACAGTTCCCCTCTTCAATACAGATTTTTAACAGCATCCAGTTTTATACAGGTACCACCATTTCTTACAGCTACTTTAACAGCCTTTTTATTTTAGAGTCGTGTAATAGTCAGGCTGCTTTCAGGAATGACAACTTTGTATTTTGGATACAAGTACTTGGTACCTCTTCCACAAACATGTAGGAGCCCTGAACAAAAAGCAAGACAATAACTAGCTCCCTAAAGACCCATTCCCAAGCAGAACCAGTCCTATCAGCTCAGATTGGCTTTAAAAATTGCTTTAAACATATGTACCTTTAACAACTTGGACACATTTGATTGTTTAGACAACGCTTGAACTCCTATGCAAATCACTCACCAGGGTGGTTAATAAGGAATGTATTCACACTTACTTCGAGGAGTGGTCCCTTGAACAGATGAGAAAATACATGTATATATTACTGAAGTATATAATACATACCATACAGTAGGAGTAGAGAGTATTTTAAAATGTTTCTTTGCCTCCAAATATCTTAGTTGTACCTGGACAGGATTTAGAGTTACCACAGAATTATCAGTGGAATAATCATGAGGAAGTAAAAGTAGTGTGACAACAAAGCTAGGATGGATAACTGCAGATAACCTATACACAGATAACTGCATACCTTGTAACCAACTCTCCTCGGTAATTTATCAAAATATTTTCTTTTTTCTTTATGTCAAGATTAAAATACCAAGTCATACCACCTCCGCTTCAAATAAGCTCACAGAAACGCACACAATCTCCCTAACACCATACCATAAAATTCACAGAACTGCCTGATAAAAAGCATCACAGAAACACTCAAGTTGGAAAAAACAATCACTTAAGGTTACTGCTCAGCTGAACAGGAGTTCTGCCACCCTTCATACAGAAAGGGTAAAATACCAGTACGATACTCTTAAAGACTGAACCTGCATTTAACAGAAAACTCAGGTTACTCATGCACTACAAACAGCATTACCAGACAACACTCATTTTAATTACCTTCCTGAAGACAGTGGAGTGCAGCCAGAAGACACACCTGTTGAATCAACATCAGCTTACTCCATTAGAGCATATGAAGGATTTCAGGTTTTCAACAGTAAAATCCTCATCCTTCTCTGTCAACGATTTTCTGTGTCACCTCCTTTTATCTTCTGGAGGACATAACGTCATTGTCTGACAAGACTCCATAAGAATTAGTCTCTTCTTACTCAATTACAAATTTTATTAAGTTCTCTTTGGTTGAGATTAGTTCAATTTTACCATTAACCTCCATAGTGCTCAGAAGAACAACTGAATTAGACCACTACTGAACACTTCAAAAATCCCTTACTTGAACAACCTACTTTCTAAAGCCCTTCACTTTTTCAGAACGCTAAAATAATTATTTCATGTCTCAGCCTAATTACTAAGTGTTAAGTATTCCAATTCATAGCAAGTAGGCCAAGTACACATTTCCCTTGCAGTATTCTTTAATACACTTACATTAAAGAAACACCATTATACATGTCTATACATGTCTACAATTATCTTGTATGATATATTTGACCTTTCAGTATTTCAAGGAATGCACCTCTAGGTACAGTCATAGCAGAAATGGTGCCGGTGTCTTTTTAACTACTCCTGTTTAAAACAGCCAGCACGTATTTAGATAACCTACACTCAATCTGTCCACTGAAGCATATATAGTACACTAAGTCATTTGGAAAGATTAGTTCTTACTCATCTCATTGTCATCTATTTTGTCGTTCCAAAGAAGGCTAAATCCTTGCTTCTTAAAGGAGAATAGAAGAAAAAAAAAAAGAGTAAACATCAACAAGGACAGAGAAGACTACTGTTAATGTCTTTAAACTACGCTGCTCAGAAAGAAGGCTCTTTGAAAGCATAGCTTATAGGTGAAGGAATAAACAGTACAACTATCACTTCCATGCATGATCAAGGAGGAAATAATGTATGAGGTAAAAAAAAAAAAAAAAAAAAAAAAATCACTGTATCAAATCAATCATTGATTACATGTCACAAATGCACTTCTTAAACAAACCAAGTCCCCACCCCAGTTAATGCAATGCGCCCAAAAAATCAAAGCAAAAGTAATAAAAAATTGCACTCTTAAAAAAAAAACTGTAATAAAAGATTTTATTTCAAAATCATACAAAGCATAAATGTAAACATAGAATCACACTGAAGTTAACCTTGCTTTTAAGTAATCAAATATTTTAACAACAACACTGCCATCGAAAAGATGTCTTTATTTACCATTAGGAAATTTTACCTTATGGAGCGATACATCATGAAATCAATTGTTGTACATCTAGGAAATTTACCAATAGAGCTCTCTTCCACTGGGGTGTACACTTTGATTTGTCTCATGTGAGTGTCTCTTCCATTTTGGTGATTAGCTAGAACAGCTATCTGAATCATAAATGTGCGGATAGGCTTCTTATGGGTATCTGTTAAAGGAACATGAATCCAGCCGCTTGGTTCCACTAATTCAAGTTGCTGCCAAGAACAAGACAAAAAAGCAAAACATTCAGGAACAGTAAATATAAACTATTACATATTAAACCTATCTAACACAGATGAATTTTGCTGGTCAGATTTTAGTTACTTTTCCAAACCCATCTGAAGCAATGTAATTGAATACCCACAGCTAACTTACCACTGATGCAACTGGAGACAAACTAATTTGTTTGACTATGGTTATTTGCTTTTGTCTTTAGTAATCTGCTTTTAAATTTATGCCTTCATCTTAAAAAAAAGAAATAAAAAAAAAAATTGAAGAAGCCAAGTCAAAACATTTGGATCTTGTTACTAACTCACAATGACAGAAAGCACATTTGTAAATTTTTTAAATCCTAATTTATGCACTCTAAACTGAAGTATTCTAGAATGACATAGAAAAGAAACTAAAAATGTACAAGCAATTTTTCCTGAATTTCTTAAGCTATTAGGGATATTGAGAAGTAATAAGAAGGTGAAGGAGGAAAAAAAATGCAGGATAACCACAGAATCACCTATGTGTCAAGAAAGATGCCTGGCTAAATAACAATTGCTGCACAGCCATTTAATTACATTCTAGAAGTCCATCCTGAGTTTGCTTTCACACAACCAACCAAGTTGAATATGTTTATTTCATTTTTTTTTTTTTTTTATTCCTACAGAAGCCAACATCAAATCAAATGAAGAATTGCATTTAGTTAACTTTAAACCACATCACTAACACGTCAGCATATTAAAACCAAGCTAGAAATTACGCAGAAGCATAGTGACATCTTTGATTAAAACTAGTTGCCCTACTTCAAAGCACAGCTCAGAGACCATGTGGAGGAGCACACAAGTCAGTGGAAGACTTCCTAGGGGGAAGGCTAGGGGTGGGAGAGAAATAAATCAGTTCTCCACAAGCAAGTGAACTTCACACAGCTAAACCGCTGCTTTTAGCAGATGAGTTCTTCTGAAGAAGAGGTATGCCTTGGGCAGCTCAACTGTCTCATCCTTCTCCTGAACACACTGCATGACAAGAATCCCATCAAATGCTTAAAACAAGTTGCCTTCGCTGAAGCTTTTTAAAGATCCACATGAAATCTGCTATTTTAGAGGCATTATCAAGAACCTGGAGAATCATTCGAAGTTAAAAGATCCGTATCTTAAAACTGCTGTAATTTGAAAAAGAAAAGAAACTAAGGTACTTGTTTAAAATATTCTTTCCACTGCCACAGGTTCTCCAACAGATCGATCCCAAATGATTAAATTCATTAAGTGTTAGCAGAATAGTTACACTCCTAAGCGGAAACTTTCACAAATACACATTCACATGTTTGTTGTAACCCTGTCCTTTTCAGAAAAGTCTACCAAATCTTTTTTAGCGTAGGTAGCTTCAGGTAGCAGCTAGCTTTACACAGCGATAAAACTGATCCATTGCTGAAGCAGCTTTACATACAGGAAATTCATTATGTAACACGGTTGTCAACTGATAATAGCAAGCATGCTTTTAATCTCCTCAATAAATGGAAAGAATGAGCATTTCAGTAATATTTTATTCAACTAATACTAAGGTACAATGCCTATGATTTAGTAGCAAATTTTATAAGTCGCATCTAATCAAACTTGCATTTTAATATTACTCTCAAAGTTTTAGAAGTTTGACTGATGATTCAAAATGAAAAGTTAAGTTTCAGAGCTATAAAACTCATGTTTTTAACTCATGCTTGAAACAGAAATTGATTACTTGATTCACCTTGTCTCATCAGTTTCAGTTAAATCCAGTACAGTTCAGACTCGTACTGTTTATTGTCAAATTAATTACGTAGAGTGAAAGGTCTTCACCTCCAGAAACAAAGAGGTACCTTGAGATCAGTGGAACTGAATTGTTTGCTCTAAATTAAGTTAAATGCCTGTTACCTTCATGTACAAAAAAATCACATGCTCAGAACATTACTAAGGTCCAAAGATGAGCATTACAATTATGGCAGTTGCAAATGAAACTTCATTAAGTTCCTTCCTATGTCAGGATACATCTTTAAGTTACATATGTATTAATATTTGGTTTCATCCCCTATCAATAGAAGGGGATAAATACACGTGTCCATGGAACGTTATTTTTCAATCCTCCTATAAAAGGCAATTTATTTCTTCCCTAGCCTTTATGCAGTGATGAGAAGTAATTTATTCAACTGTAAAAGAGGCAACTAAGTTCAGATTAAAATAATCCCAAGTTTCAGATGTCAAATGTTGCCTACTTTAAAACTAGATTTTAAGTCCTTAGCTACACACAGTATTTGAGATGAGGTTTAGCTCCCACCAAATTCACATCTCCACAAGTTAATGAAGTTTTTACATCAGCTACTGGAACACACAGAATGTATGAGCAGTTATCTGAGTGCATCCTGTGAAGAGACCACAACGAAGCAGAGAATTCCTCAAGCAGTACTCAGCTGTCTCAGGCACCTTTTAAAATTATTCCTGAAATCTGTGCGTTGCTTACTCCTCAAATTCCAGCTTCCATAACAAATGAATTAATTGTACAAACCCCAAAGTCATCCTCAAAATAGATTCTGCGCCCCTTTCTAATCTAATAGTTGCCTCTTGGAATAAGTGCCTAAGACACACGAATGAAGCTCTAGGCTGAATAGTGCAAGGGGTCTAGATTTACATCTGGTCATTTGAAGAAATTAAGCTCGCATTGAAGTTGTCTAAATAACATCTCCATCCTGTAATTTTTTCATGTCTGTGCCATTTTTTAACTGATGCCTACATAGTTCAGTGACATCATTAAAACCTTGAAATCCATTCAACTACTGAAGCTTAAATACAACAATCATCTGAACATTCACTAGAAACGAAATATTTTTTCCAGCTATGCACGTATTCCGCGATCGTAAGAACAGGGGATCATGACACACACTGCTCAACATTTCTCATTCGTATCCATCCTTTATTATGAAGAACAAACAGGAATGGGAATAGGCAGTGGCAGTACATGACAATATGCTGCCCACTCTTAGTTCCATGTCAGTACCCAGATCCAGGCATTACAATTTTCAGCAGAAAAAGGATGAAATACGCAGTTCATCTCTGCCTGAAGCAGTCACAGCGTGAACAGAATCTAAAGGAAACCTACTATGAAGTTTTAAGAAATTTCTATTAAGCCCATGCAAATGGCAATCTTTCAAAGCCTTGTAAACCGGTCTGGAAATTTGGGTGGATTTTTACAGGGAGGCAAAAGGCAAATGCTCAACACAAAGGCTGAACTCCTGCCAAATTACAAATCCTTGCTTCAGAGCTTGGGGGCACTGGAGCATCAAAGAAAGACACCAGAATATTCTCACACAAGCAAAACAGCATACTTTTCACTAGCCGCCTTCTTGTAACTGAACTGCTTTGGCTGAAACTTTTAAAGAAATTGAACCAAAAGCAGGTCTCTCAAACAGGAAATGGCAGTTTGAACTGAACACTGATGAAAGTTCAAGAAACTAAAAGTCTTAAAAAAGAAAAGGTCATAGCTTAGGTACAGGTGGCCACCGGCAACTCTACTGACAGCAGATACACTGCACTCATTTCAGTTGACTTGGCACTCAATTGTTTTCTTTAAAAAGCACTAACCACTCTATATAGATATTCCGTCCTAACCCTAAAGCCTAAATCCATTGTAAGCAAACGACACATTTAAATTTCTCCCTGTATTTTTCTCTCATATGCAAGTCATTCATTAGGAATCTATCACAAGTAACTGTCCTCCAGCAAAGTTTTACTTAGCAGCTGTATTACTAATTCCATAAGCAAAATTTTTGAAAATTAAAGACTTCTTTGTTACCTAAAAAAGAATCAATGCAAGTTAAATATTAGTGACCTGGGACAGTTCCTACTGCTCTCACCTTATTAAGTATGCTTAAGTTACGCTGCTTAAACTCATTTCTACTACGATAAATTTTGAGATGTTTGGTAGAGAAGCAGAGTGAGAAAGTCAAAATAAACGCAAAAACAAAGGGATTAAAAATTGAAATGGAAAGTCACTCACCTGTCCTTTGCTGCTGTTATATACTCTTATCTATCTCTTCTCCTGCTTTCTGTCCACTGCTTTATTTTCCTGTCCTTTGCGTGCTACGGCTTCACGTATGGATTACTTGAGTGAGAGTATACATTTATATAATTTTAAAAGCCAAAGCAGAAACAACAGTGTAAATGGAAATCCTCATCAACTTGATAATCCTGTTTCTTCATTTTCTCACGTAGTTCAGAGATGCATTAAGCAAAGCTACTATTACCACTAACGGGAGCTCTGCCACAGAAGATGCAAACCATACGTACAAAAACAAAATAAGCAACAGAAAAACCTGATGAACTTCATACAGATAAAGGAAGGACTAAAAATCCCACAGCAAACTCAATCTATACTGGTACTGCTGGCTTCCTTATAGAATAAGCAGTCAAATAAACAATGCACTTCCTCTTTTAGGTTTCCTAAGGAAGAAGACATACTTTTTCAATAGCATAATGCTAAAACTATTTATCTTACCTGCTTTAAAGGGAAATAATGTAACTTACACTCAAGAACAGTGAGAAAGGGCTAAAAGCAGCAGATAAAAACAAATCCATCTGATTCAACTACGAAAAAAAAACCAACACAAGTGGACAGAATTAGGTTTTCTGAACACAAAATCCATTAAAAATAACAGTGAAACATGGTTGGTACACATTTGTTCCAAAAGCCTACCCTGGACCTGCTCTCTGAGTAGGAGAGCAAGCAAAGATGAGTTCACAGCTCTGAATATTGACTGCCAGCATTGTGCAGAGCCTGTTCCATCTCTACTACTGCTCTCAGAAGTGGTTGAGAAGCTGAGGTACATTATCATCAGCAGTTGTACTTATGTCTCCTTTCAAGAATCAGAAGCTCTCCAAAAAAAAAAAAAATATATATATATTAATACATCTTTAAGTCCCATTAAGTCCCATTGTTAAATTTAATTTCAGCTGGCCAGTAACAGCATAGAAAAGGGATGCTA